GAACAACAGTTTGTTCGCTCCTGTTCGGCTCAAAATAGCTCGAAAAAAAAATTATACAACTCTTTATATAACAATATATTTATGTCTAAGTTTAAATCATAACACCTCATGTGACAATGTGGTTAAGGTCTTCTTTTGTATAGATTTGATCCAGGTTCGAATCCCACACTTTACATCTATTTTTCTCAATTTTAGTTTAACGAGCCAATTTCGGGCCGAACACGAGCCGAACACGAACACGAATATTTAAATCGAGCCGAACACGAATACACTGTTCACGAGCCGATTTCGAACACAAGCTGATTTCAAATACGAGCTATTTCGAAAAAGCCGAACACGAGCCTGGTGCCACCTTCACTATATGATTTTTTTTTTCAGTAAGAAAGCAGTAATTAATTGGAACAAGTTCAGCATCTTAGCATATTCCTTTGAAAAAGTCTCTTTTTTGGGTGGATTCCCTAATGAAACTTATCAACCACAAAACCACATATTCACAAGAACATTGAGCTGCAATTTGTCTTACACTTTATGTCATGCACTAATCCACCAAAGGATATCTTGCCTAAGATAAGTTTTTGTGAGGAAAAAGAGTCTTATATCAAAAATAAAAATAATTAAGAAAAATTTGAAATTCTATTTTAAATTAAAAGTTTGTATTAAGCATATAATCAATTGTGAAAAATAAGGTTGTGAAAACCGGACCGGACATCAAAGTAGAAGAAATAAAGGTTTAATGTTTATTGGTTCGATCGGAGTTGAATCGGGAGTTGAATCGAATGATGTAATAAATTAAAATTTTATTTAAACTTGACATAAATGATATGTTTTAAAAAAATGATTATTAAAATATAAACTAAACACATCAATATTTAAATAAAAAACATCACAATAATTCTGAAATTTTACTAATTAATTTTCAAAAAAGTTAAATATGAAATATAAGAGTTACATACTAACATTTTAATATATAATATATAATATTGTGGGAATCTAAAAGAAGTAAAATATCATATTCTGGTGGCTGTTCCTCCCTGAATCAACTCATGGCATTGAGGAGATTTTTGCCCACTATAATCGATTTCTCTCACAAAACTTCATTGAAATATATAATTACTTGGTTTGACTCCATTTCCAATGCTTTTCCTCTCCATTAGAAACTCCCATATCTATTGGAAGTACTGATACAAAGCCTTTCCTCTCCATTAGAAACTCCCATATCTATTGGAAGTACTGATACAAAGCCTTTCCTCTCCATTAGAAACTCCCATATCTATTGGAAGTACTGATACAAAGCCTTTCCTCTCCATTGGAAACTTCCCTCTGCAGAACACTCCTACAATTTCAATGCCGAATAAATAATAAGCATAGAAACGGTTCGTCAGTCCAACAGTTGAGCCGGCGGTTCAACCGGTTCCGACCAGTTCACACCCAAAAAATAATTTTTTTGCTTTTCCAGACCAAACTGACCACCGCTTCACGGTCGAACCGGCCGGTCCTGTCCGGTTTTCTAAACCTTGGTGAATGATCAATTAACTTTTTCAATATCACAGTTTTGAGCACGTGAATCTTCTGAGAAGTATATCAATCCTACTTTTTATCGACTTAAATAATGAATAAAATCATATCATATAATTGAATGAGGTGTCATATTAAAACCAACAATTCATTCCTTCAAAATCTAAAGTAACCTCCACTGAAGCCACCACTATCTATTTGGCTTTTCTAGTGCTCAATCTGCCCGTTTCTTAATAATTCAGTAAAGTCATGCAATATTAAACTAACAATTCCCACGTTTCTTAATTAGCCACCACTCCAAGTGACAAGCTTCTCTTTTTCTTTCTTTAAAGCTTAGAAAGATTCATCAAAATAGTATAATTATAAATATAACCCCCTCTCACCATACTCCATCTCCCCACATCTCAATTTTCTCGCCCTCTCAAAACTTTCAACATTAAACTCTTGCTTCTTTCCTATGGAGTACCAAAACCAATACTCTTTAAAGAAAGGAAACCCTTTGCCAAGGAGAGGCCAAGTGAAAATCAAGATTTTTGCGAGTTTAGTTCGAACGATAAGCTCTAATTCTTTGAAGAACGGAAGAAGAGGAAGGGGAGAAGATGTTGCTGAGTCGATGATGATGTCGATACCATCAAGCAACGATTGTGTCTGCTCAGAAGATAGATATGAAGCCTGACTAATTCTCTCTAGCTACAAGCTCTTCTCTTGTTTATTGGACTTAATAAAAGGAGAGTTTTTTTTTTCTTAATGCAGAGTTACTGTTATAGCATAGTTTGTGTATATATATTCTTCTCTTTATTAATCTTTGGAGTAAAAGTATAATCTGAGAATGAGCACCGTAGCTGAAAATTATATATATAT